GACTGTCAGAAAACGACTACAAGAAGACAGCTCATTGGAAGACAGGACCAATTTCACCACGATCAGATTTGCACACTGTTAGACCTCTGCCTCACCACTACATACTTCAAATACAACAAAGGCTTCTACAGTCAAAAACATGGCTGTGCCATGGGCTCCTCCGTGTCACCTATTGTAGCGGGGGGAAACTCCCACTAGGTTTAAATCTGGGACTCTCCACCATTTGACCTTAGAACTGAAGAAGCTTCTCGGATGAGAGGTGAAACGTCTTCTAGCAACTTAAAGAAGTCCAGACGCTTTTCTTTGCAAGCTCCTTTGACTACGATGACCTGGATGACTGAGAACCTTCACAGACATTTTGGAGATTTACTTTCCAGGATGGTTGAGAATGCATCAAGACGCTTTATGAACTGTGTTAATTCTACCTCCGTGTGCCCAGGTTACTATCCGGGGTTTGTGTCTGCCACCTGCCTGTCCTCCTGGCTGCTCAGATCTCTAAGTGCACCATCTGTCCTCATCCCTGCCTCCATCGATTCGCTTCCCACTAACTCGCTCCCCCTCTTCAGAGCCCCACGGTCCGGCTCTGGTCGTAAGCTAAATTACTATAGCCCTGTTTAGTAATGTCCCTCAATCCAACTGCTCACTAGTAATTTTCTCCCCTTTCCGTTGCAGCCCCCCACAGTCCTGATTATGGCTTCCCTGTGTAATTTGTCTTCCCGGTTTCCTTCAGTTCTGCGATTTTGCTTCCTTGGTTGTTCCGGGTCACCTTTTGTTAAAACAATAAAATCTGCACGCTCACATTAAGCGTATTGAGTCTGCTTTTGGATCCTGCTTGTGTGCATGAACTGCGGTTCATGACAATAGGAGGTTAGGGCTAGGGTACCGTCGTTCTACTGGATTTCATCCATAACCCGGCGCGTAGCATAGGAACGCTGAAAGTCATCTTTCACGTTCCTATGGAACACCTTGGGACGTGACAAACCGTCAGTATATTACGCCTCAAGAGTGAGAACGGTCTGCTATTTTCACTGAAACAAGCTAAATTCTCTCCAAATCTTTCTTAGAATGTTATATATTTGCTGCAGATTACCATTTGAGAAAAACTGTCTCTTTGAAATAATGATAATCATTATTGTACACCTATAGTTTACTACCCTACTAACTTTGAAATGTTGGCTTAACAGACAAGAGTTATCTGTTTAGCCAAAGGTAATCCATCACTCACTAGCAAATGCTGCGAAAAGAAAATACCATGAACCATTACATACCTTCTTTATTTTATTTTCTGTATTTCATGCCACAACTATGAAAGTCAATGCTAACATGGTGTGTTAGTCTATTACACACTGCTCTTGTTGTGCAAGATCTGCAATATGGTATACTATAGTTCATATATCGTATGGTTGATTCTGCTTTTTCTAGCTAGCACAAATCCACTAAACAGTAATAATCCTAAACTCTGAAAGTCCAAGCAAAGAGATGGAAAAAGAAGACATAAAAAGAAAAGAACTGTAAGAGAAATATTCAGGCACTTAGAAAAACTCTCAAATCCTTGGCTACACTTTGCTTCATGACATTGTACATGTATTTCACAGACTGATCCTGATCCCATCTTGTGGAGTAGGATATTGTCTTTTGAAGACAAGACCAACAAATTAAAGGGTTTTCAGGTATTTCACAAAACATCCAGGTATTTCACAAAACATCCACATTGCTATTTACATGTGATCCTAGCACTCAATAGCTACATATTCTCACGACGTATTCCCTTAGTCAATTTTATAACCGCTACTGTACAACATGAATTGAACATTCAGATTCAGAGAAAATACATCACTTGTTTGCAGGACAACTTAAAATTATTGTTTTGTGGAGAGAATATAATTTCTTGTACTTTTCCATATGTATCTTTTTTATCAGTACTGGTTTTCCATCGGGTTTCCATTAATCTTCAATGCTAATGTGTTTCAATTAGAACAAAGTTATAAAACAAAAACAGAATCATCAGAACAGTGTGGCCTGTTACAAAGGAATGCAATGAAGAGATAATTCTGAGACTGAAGGAAAGTAACACTACCAACAATTAGAGTCAGCTGCAACTGACATTTAGTATTGTGCTCCCTTTGCACAGTACAGACATACAAAGATTTACTCTGATTGACAACAGCAATAGCAATAAACAAAGATGCCACAAACTGAAGGAACAAATGCACAGTACAATAAAGCAACCTGTAGTTGTAGCATGTTTTTGAGTTGTCATCATGTGATCAACATACTATTACAAATATTCTGGAGGGAAACCTGGAAGTCTTGTCTGATCTCTTCATGGCACCTTTGGCATGATTATAATTTGGAAAATGTAAAAACTTGAAGGCCTGTATCCTCTAGAAAGGCCAAAGCCAGAGTTTATGTTCATGATTAGAGTAATAAAAAACAGAAATAATGATTTATAGAGGGCTTGGGATAGGAGTGAAGAGTGGAGTCAGTTACTACACTAGTCAGATAACCTTCTGCTAACCCAGCTGCTTTCTATACTGAAGCTGAATGCAAGCAAACGTAGATCTTCCATGTCTGTTTTTGTGTAGAGATCTTAGTTTGGTACAAATTCCTTCTGAGTTCCTTACAGGATAAAATGAGGGGATTGTTCCATCAGGATGTACTGGAAGAAATCCTAAGCTGTTAATGTGGCTGACTTCTGACTCTATGACTCAGACTTTGTCTCACGATTGAGTACTTCCATGAATAAAAGAAACTTCTCCAGGGTCCATGACCAAAGTCCCTCATATGTTGGTGTTACTCATCATATCCTACCCCTCAACATTAAGGGTTTTCATTTAAACTGCATTACCAAGCACATTACGTTTCCTGCTGTGGTAGCACTGAAGGCAAGAGTTCATATTCAAAACCAAATACTACACTGGATGTTATTACTTCCAGCCAACCATGCTGGAAGTAATATGTTGATATTTTAAGATCTACTTCTAACCATTAATATGCTAAAATATGAATCAAACGTCTTGAAACATTTGTTTAAAATCAGAAATATGTGTATAAATTCATAATGAACAACTCCAAAACTGAGAGAGATTATTATGAATCCTGTTCTTAACAAGACTTAGAGCCCACTGATTGTGTCCTCCAGATTGTATAAAAAACAAGAAAGCTCTTTGAAAGTCGCAATATGATGTCAGGACACATTTAAATTTCACACATTTCACATTTTCAGACAGCCTCTGTAGGAAGACATTCAAACATACATATGTTTCTGCCAAGCATAGCGTGATGTGGATGTGATGGTCAAGTTTCAACTTTGGGAAGTTCAATTAATGTCTGGATACAACCACACTCTGCAGCTTTCAAAGCCCCTGAAAATGCTTTTACTTCAAACAACCACTTAAAAGGTTTCAAGCTAAGAAAAATGTCAGTCGTGATTTAACAGTGTAAGAACCCAATGACATTTGCTGGGATGTTTGATCACTCAAATCTAATCAGACCTTGATGAAGCAGATTATTCCACTTTAAATATTCAAAATATTTAAATGAAACACTGACATCATTATAGATTGATTATTTACATATTTGAAGTTTTCAGCGGTTTTACTCTTTAATCAATAAATTTGCAATTTGTGAAAACACGCACACGCACACACACGGACATACCACAGATAGCTCCATCCTGTACAGGAGCTTAGTTTGTGCATTTTAAGCTGAAGTGACTTAGTTTAGTTTAGTGATTTAAAATGTTTGATAAAAGAAGTGAAGTTTTTAATGTTGCAATACACAGAAACACCATGGAATATCTAATTGCTGCAGTGATAGTATAGACTGACACGAACACATTCGATCCAACGCAAACACATTTGGAAAAAAAAGTAAATTCCAGACTTTGGACATATTTGCAGAAATGGATCATATTCATATTCCAAATGATCTTACTTTGGACTTTGACGTTTCTATGATAGCTTACCAAACAAACCAATGGACCTTCCCATTATTATCTGCAACCAGATAATGCCTAAATCAACAAGCACACTGCAAATGCAAAACATCAGATTTAGTGGTATTAAGCATGGTGTCTGACTATATGTTGGACAAGTCAGTGTTTGGTGGGTTTTATTATTGTAGGGTCTTTACCTTACAATATAAAGCGCATTGCGGCAACTGTTATTGTGGTTTGGTGCAATATAAGGAAACTGAACTGAACTGGTTGCCAGGAGAACGGTGCTTGTCTGACTGCACTGTGCCAAGTGTAAAGTTTAGTGGAAGGGGGACTATGGTGTGCTATTGTTTTTCAGGAGCTGGGCTGTGCACTTTTTGAAAAATCTTTCAAAAGTTCCCATAAACACACTCCTAAACCTCGTGGAAAGCCTTCCCAGAAGAGCTGAAGCTGTTATAGCTGCAACATTTGGGCCGACATCACATTAAACTCTATGGATTAAAAATGGGATGTCACTCAAGTTCATGTGCTTGTGAAAGCGAACCAGTAATTTTAGCAATATGGTGTATTTTAATAGCACTTTCTGGCTTTTAAACGCCTTGTTTTTATTAGCTATTTGTTTTTAGCTTTTGTTTTTAGCTATGTTGTTATGGTACCACATATGACTTTACAGGCTTTTAATGTAAAGCCTCAATGCCTGACCTGTGCAGTTTATCATGGCAGCACGTCGCTAAAACCATAATAAAATAGCTTGTTATAACAAGATACTTTTATGTCATAAAAACGTATTATTTGTGCAATTACTTTTGCTACACAAAGGGGTACTTTTAAAAATGGTTAGTAAGCTTTTCATAATAAACTTGTAAATAAAATTAAAAAGCCACATTATTGGCTACATTTAATGCTATATCCAATTATAAACCTACATTTGAAAAGACCTTGTTGTATTGTAGCTACAAAAACCTAAAATTTAAGATTGTCAGCAATCTAGACAGATAGATCAATCAACAGATAGACGGCAAATGAAACAGACAAATGGGAAAACAGTGTGTCATGTTTTACAAATAATTTTGCTTTTTTCAGATGTTCCACTGCCTCTACAAAAGTCATTACCATTTAAATATTTAAACCTGAGATTCTAATTTTTCAAGACTTTCTTTGTACTGTAAAAACCAAAATGTTGGTGCGGCCTTCCTCCTGTCATCGTAGTCATGAGCAAACCCTATCAAAGACAGACAGTCAAATACATTTTGATGCTCATATTACATAAAAGTTTGGTATAGTAAATGCTAAAAATGTAAAACATTTTGGTGTTCACCAGGTTTCTGCTGAACACAGTCACGGGGCCACTGCTGTCAGACAACAGTGCTTATGTCATCAGTCTCGTCTGCTTTTTTCGGCTTACTGGGGAGAGACTTGAGGTACTCCAGATGGCGTCGCGCGTCCTCCTGGTTCTGACGTACATAATACACCACATATGAAATGACCATAGCAAACCAACCGAACATGGTTACGAGCATAGCATAATCTGTGGTCCTTTTTGCCAAGTTACAGAGATCTATGTCAACCGCCAAGAACGGCTGTCCCTCCTGGTCGTGGAGCTCCGAGCTTCTGCAGAGAACCCGGGCAGCAGCCTCATGGTTATGGGCCATTCCTCCAATAGCCTGCTGAAGGGCGCAGTCACAATGCCAGGGGTTATCGTTCACAATAATCCGGGCCTTCAGTCGAGCAAAGGCATCCTTGTGTACGCTAGTGATGCGATTGTGGGAAAGGTCCAGCACCTGTAAAGTTGCCTCTATGCCAGTGAATGCACCTTCCCCTAAAGTCTCCACTGCATTGTAAGAAAGGTTTAGCTCCCTCAAAAACCTAAGTCCATGGAAGCGAGATCGGGAACGCTGCCGATCTGGTTGTGGTCCAGCCTCAGCAAGACAGTGTCAACTGGTAGACTGGGAGGAATCTCTTTGAGGCGGGACTGACTGCAGGTAACATTGAAGCCATGGAGGTGGGAATCGCGTTGGCATATGCAGCCCTTTGGACACATGCTGGCCGAGGGAAAGCACAAGGCCATTAGGACAAGGCTCTGAAGGAGCAGGCACATGGGGATGGAGCGTGACAGCCACAAGTCCAGTAGAGTCATGCTGACCGACTGTCAGCAGCATCCCGCCTCGGGCCACAGCACCACCACTGGTCGCTTACACACATTGCATAGTAGCGACTGGCTTTCGCAATTTACCCACTGAAGATATGGAAGCGTGAACAGATGTTATCATACTGCGTTGTGGCCTGAAATGAGATAAGACAGAGTCAGTCAAACATATCAGCTAAAAATATAGTATAGTCAAAGGTTCATCATTTAAATGATCTTAAATGTGGCAGGTAAAATTTCATGAAAGTAGAATTCATGATAGATGATCAAATTTAATCAATAATCAAAATTATACAATGAATCCAAATAAGTTTTCTACCAGTGAAAGATATTCATTCATTGGATTCATTGGATATTCATTCTGCTAAAGAGAATGAATATCCAGAGCCTGACTTTACCAACAGCATCATCAGAATAAAAGTGTTTCTGAAAGACTAAGAGTAAAACCTTTTATACTGGATTAGTGCATAATCATAAAATGTATGATTGATCTGTTTAGTAGTAATATGATGAAATAATAGTGCAAGCATTATCTTACTCTTGTCAATAGAATCAAAATTTAACACAAGTAGAGATAAAAAGATGAATGCTGAATAATTCTGAGGCTTATCATACCATTTGTTAAGTATAACACAATGCTGGATACCCAAACAGGATACGCAAAAGTGGGTGTGCATATGGGCAATGTTTTACTTTAGTGATGCTCCACACAATTTCAGTCTCAGAAGATGAGACAATGGAAGCCACAGGGCGTGAAGGTGGATGTCAGACAAGATCAGACTATCGGTGTGCACGAGTTGGATGTCAGGATGGAGAGTGTCTCCAGGGCGGAGAGGCTGGTAACTGGAGGTGACTTCAGTGGACATGTAGGTCGAGTGAACAGAGGTGACAAGTATATATGTATTAAGGAGAGGCATGCAGAAGGACAGATGGTGGATTTTGCCAAAAGGACAGAAACGGCCATGGTGACCATGTAGCCTACTTCAAGAAGAAGCAACATAGAGTGAGGTATAAGAGTAGAAGAAGGTAGACCATATCTAATGCAGAAGGTGCAATCTGAAAAGGACAGGAGATTATAAAATGTAGAAAGGATTGTAGATTGTAGAATGACTCTGGAAATCAAAATGTGGAAGCAAGTGAAGGCAGAGCAACGATGAAATGGTGAAAGCTGGAGTTGAGACAGGTTCTGTGTGGTAGAGACGAATTACCAGGTGACTGTGAAAATACAGCTGCAGTAGTGTGGGAGACTGCCAAGAAGGTGTTTGGTGTATCCACTGGAAAATATTCAAAGAGTTTAGTAATGAACACATTTGATAGCCAGGGAGACGAAGAAAACACCAGCAAACTTTATGGGAAACTATGCATAACACAAAGAGAGAGCTGGCAAAGCAAAAGGCTCAAAGCGAGTTATATCTGAGGCTGGACAATAAAGAAGAAGAAAAGCATTTGTATCAATTAGCAGAGAGAAAGACGGCAAGACTGAGCTGTGAAAAGATGTGCAACAGGTTAGTGTGAGTAAGGAGATTGGTGAAATGTGTTAACAAATGAAGACTGTCTTCCTTCTCTCCCCCAACCAATCACAGCAGATGGCCCCGCCCCTCCCTGAGCCTGGTTCTGCCAGAGGTTTCTTCCTGTTAAAAGGGAGTTTTTCCTTCCCACTGTCACCAAAGTGCTTGCTCATAGGGGGTCATATGATTGTTGGGTTTTTCTCTGTATGTAGTGTTGTAGGGTCGACCTTACAATATAAAGCGCCTTGAGGCGGCTGTTGTTGTGATTTGGGGCTGTATAAATAAAACTGAACTGAATTGAACTGAATTGAAAGACTGATGCAGTACTTTGAGGAGCTGCTGCATAAAGAATATTAGAGAGAGGAATGGTAGTGAATCAGGAAACACATCACTAAAAGCAGGAAATAAAGAAAGCTACTAAGATGATGAAGATAGAAAAGGTTTGGTCCGGATCACATTCACTACATTGCCAAAAGTACTTACTCACTCATCAGGTGTTCCAATCAATTCCATTCAAATCAGTTCAATTCAATTTTATTTATACAGCACCAAATCACAACAACAGTTACCTAAAGGCGATTATTTTAAAGTAAAACCCCTACAATAATACAAAGAAAACAAAGAAAACCCAACAATCATATGACCCCTATGAGCAAGCACTTTGGTGACAGTGGGAAGGAAAAACTCCCTTTTAACAGGAAGAAACCTCCAGCAGAACCAGGCTCAGAGAGGGGCGGGGCCATCTGCTGTGATTGGGGTGAGTGGAGCAAAACAGAACAAGGACATGCTGTAGAAGAGAGCCAGATATTAATAACAACTAATAATTACAGGCAGAGTGGTCTAAAAAACACTGTAAGTGAAAAAGGTGAGTGAAGAAGAAACACCCAGTGCATCATGGGAATCCCTGGCAGCCTACGTCTATTGCAGCATAACTAAGGGAGGATTCAGGGTCACCTGGTCCAGCCCTAACTATATGCTTTAGCAAAAAGGAAAGTTTGAAGCCTAATCTTGAAAGTAGAGATAGTGTCTGTCTCCTGAATTCAAACTGGAAGCTGGTTCCACAGAAGAGGGGCCTGAAAACTGAAGGCTCTGCCTCCCATTCTACTTTTAAATACTCTAGGAACAACAAGTAGGCCTGCAGAGCGAGAGCGAAGTGCTCTAATGGGTGATATGATATATGGTATCATAATGTTTAGCCTTTCTATAAAATACTGATATTTGCTTGCAGCACACAGAATAGAGATTTTGCTCATCGAACAGGCAAGACAGAAGACAGAAAGTGATCTAAGTGATCCATTGTGTCATAATTGATTACTTATGTTTTGGAAATCAAAGCATGAAACAATTACTTACCGCACTGCTAATGTTCTGTTATAAAATGCAAAATCTCAATTTATACATTAATTAAGTGTTGTTTCCTGCAAAATCCAGCAATTACTGCAATACAAATAGGCAGGCAGAAAGCACTCAACAACCATATCTATGTAAATGACACATGGACTGATTCTTAATTAGAGCTTTTCTGCTCTCCCGAAGCCCTTAAGGCGCTTTATACAACATGCCTCATTCACACAAACACTTTCGTCTTTCTATCTACCGATTATGCATATTCATAGAGCAACTTGGGCTTAGCATCCTGTCCAAGGATAGTTGACATGCAGGGATTTAACCATATATTTCTGCCTGAAATATGTTCTGCAAGTCAGTATTTTGACCTGAGCTACAGACATGTGAATGTGTATTTCTGCTGGAAATATGTGGTGCATTGTTGCTTTACGAGACCCGGAGCTTTGTCACTATTAGTAATCCTCACATTTACTCTTTCCAAATAAATTAACAGTCACAGTGATCACAGTCTTGCAGAATTTATGCTCGAACAGAGCGAGCGTGTTCAACGTCTGCACTACTGCAGAGCCAGTCCGTCTGCCTGCAGTGAGCTCTGCTGTCAGATGAAGTATGTGCTACGACTGGTGTGTGGGCCTCTGTCGCTCGTGTTGTTGTTGGTCTGTGAGCTGCGAAGAAGAGCAAAGACAGCGAGTGTTAAACACAGTGAAAAGTGTCACTGCAGCCACTGTCTGTGCTTTTCATGATTTATTTTTTGATCACTGAAGTTGTTTTGCAGTTCTCTGGTGGTCTCCCTGCTTTATTCTGGCCCACTTATCACCAAAACAGGTAGGAGATTATTATTAGTCATTAGCATTCAACCCAGTCTTAATGAGGACTATACAAACAGCGCTTGCTGCCTCCACAGACTACGTTGTAGTCTGTGTACTTAAGAAGTTATTAACAACTCATATCTATTTTGTAATATTTTCCTATATCTTTTCTTGGGACTGTCCAATTAAAAACACCATCATCATTATCTGACCCCTCAACCTGAATGTAGGGAATAAAGCACACAAAGTTTATGGGAAACTGCAGAAACTGGCATCCTCACAATAAACGCTTTGCTGTTATTCAGCTGCAGTGCATCGTCTCTACTGCACTGAAACTATTGTTGCCTCTTAATGATGTTGAGCCTTCTCCTCCCATCTCTGCTCGTCTGTAAAACTGTCTTACTGAACGCCACTGATGTGCTTTGTAGTAAATGTATTTTCCCATTTTTATGCAGTTCAGAGTATGTTACCAAAACTGAAGTTAAGACATCTGCAAATTTTGTGAGACCATGTGGAATTTATAATAATATGTAACTTTAAAATTATGCAAAGGTGATTTCTACATGATGGACAAGTCAGAATGTGCCTTTTTATTTTATTGAAGCTGTGCATAGCTGCATTCTTAAAACTGCCATCAGCAGTGATGGGAATAACGGCATTAAAAGTAACAGCGTTACTTTGTAACAAGTAATCTAACTAATTACTATTTCTATCGTTACAATGCTGTTACCGTTACTAACAAGAAAATGTGGTCGCGTTACTATTTTTCAACAAACAGACGGTTGAAGCTGTGTTCAGCTTACAGCATCTTATATCAGCTGCAGGAAGTAGCTGTAAGTAATCCGGGTGCTGCAGCTTTAAGCAGCTGCGCGCTCCCGTGGGCGGCATTCACTTTCTGCCCGACGATCACTTTTTGGCACAACACCTGAAGCTCAGGGGGCAAAACAGTCGCATGAGTGCTGCTGTTTGACTGAAGAAGAATAAAGTAGTCGTGCTAAGCCAATCACATGACCACTTTAAGATGACAAAGCAACAAGGTGATATTGTCAGGGTCCTGGGTCTCCTGACCCAGCGTTTTAGTTCATTGTGATTTTTGTATTATTGTACTTGGTGTGAGTTTCTATGGTTTCTAGTTTCGATCCCTTGCCCTTCATGTTTCTCTGTGTCCCCTCTGTTCTGTGTAAGTCTGTGTCTGCATGTTTGAGTTCCCCTCTGTGTCTCTCGGTTCTTAGAGTCCTCTGCCTTATGGTTTATGTCTCTGTTTTTCTTAGTTGCTGTCTCCACTGTGTCAAGTTCGCGTCTCTGTGTGATCCTTCCTGTTTTACTT